GGGGGGGGGGCGTACATGACAGATATGCGAGGTCTGTCTCAAAATAAAGTTTCCCAGTCATGTTGTCCTCACATATAATTATAAATCACCTTGTATTTGGTATCAAAAGAAAGCTTATTCAAATACCTATTGAACGTAGGAACCATCAAGTTCTAGACATTTCTCCATTTGATGTACGCAGCGGTTAAAGACAGTGGTCAGTGATCGTTTGTCCAAGGTCCCGAGTGCTTTTCTTATAGCCTCTTGAATCTGGTCCTTGTCCTCAAATCGCCGACCTCGCAGCATTACTTTTTTCACCTTGGGGAAGAGGTGAAAGTTGCATGGGGCGAGATCGGGCGAATAGGGCGGGTGTTCCAATAATTCCCACGAGCAGCCCTCAAGAAACTCGTGCACAACTCTGGACTTGTGAACATGCCCTTTTCCATGATGCAGGATGACGCCTTCTTCAAGCAAAGCAGGTATTTTTTCCTGATCGCAGGTCTCAGCTTGTCTTTGAGGACGAAACTGTTATAGTCACCATTGACAGTTATGCCAGGTGTGACTAGCCAGCTCAGTATGATGCCACTCATGTCGAAAGAAAACCCAATGTGCATCACCTTTCTCTCCCTGTGTTTTCTGTGTGCACTTCATCGTTCATGTCAGACCTCCCACCTTCAACCTCCCTGATCCATTTCCTTACTGTCTGATTTGATGGGGCATTATTCCCTATTACTTTGTATAGATCACCATGGGCTTCAGCTGCTGACTTGACGAGAAGAGTTGAAAATTTGATCACAACTCGGACATCATAGCATGAGACGGTTGCTTCAATGTTTTGCTCAGACATGTTCCTCAAATTTGCCTTGGACAACGTGCACAAGAACACCACACTTGTCACGTCATTGCCCTATGATCCGTTCTCCAATGCACTTGCAATTTGGTGCTGATATTTCTTAGACATGATGTCATGACTTCACAAAATTTAGTGGCTGTTTGTTGCTTACTTTTGATTTTATGGAGGAGGGAAACTTTATTCTGAGACAGACCTCGTACCTTGATACATCGGTTAAGAAGATGATTTCGCTCCGTCATCACCGTGATAGAATTATGGTCAACCTGGTCTCCGTGTTCGAGCTCACGCCCTTCCCCCTCCCCCATCCACCCCC